CCATAACCTTCAACCCAAGTATAACATGAGTAAATTCATGCACCTCTATTTACCATCCACCTAGCTGTGTCACAGGAATATAAGACCTTATCCACCATCATTGTTATCATCATCCTCCCCAGAAATCATTTTGGATCTCACGTGGATTGAAATTAGAGCAAGCCGTCTTACCATCCTCAAACTATTGCCCATCAATGACAGCTAATAGGTCAACTAATTACGATAAGCTGATCCTAGACTAACTGTGTTGCATGGATGATAGAAACTGACTTCCTGCAGCAGAACAGATGGAGGACTGATATGTTATAAGGCCCCCAATCACACCCTAACGTCTAGCTTTAGAATCTAGCATCTGTCTTCATATCAAGTCATCTTGTCTCATTGGTCATCCTCAATCTGATTAGAATTAAAACATCCTTGACAATCTGGAATTAAAGAAACATCAGCTTTAGCTTCCTTTGTCCTCAGTTACGTACCATAGCAGCAGACGCATTTGAATACCAGCTTCTTTAAGCATAATATGAAAGATGATCACAAACTTGTGTAAATCAAGAAGAAAGCAGATCAGTTCCACTTGAAACTGCTAAATGACCTAATTTTAGAGGACTCGTATAATAATCTTTTCAGATGAGGTGGATCCTCCATATTGTAGCCACTAAACTTCGATTGAGATGAGAGTCTAGCCTTAAATCTCTAGCATGCTTAGCATGGATATTCACTCTGTATCATATTTAGCATGCTTAAAAAAAAGCATGATAACACAGAGTAGCATGTAAAAAAAGCATGATGCCACAAAGTAGCATGTAAAAAGAGCAAGATACAAATATGGCATAAGCCTTAAGAAAGGTAAGGACAAGAAGAAGAACCACAAGGCTTGGATTACCTTGATCTCAAGAAATCAACCAAGCTTGCTTGAGAGAGATCCACACAATAGAAAAAAAAAAGGGCTAAATCCTAGAAATTTTGATAATTTTAATGGAGAAAAATAAAGGAAAAAATGAAGAAAAAAAGAATGAGGTTGGCTGGCGGAAAGGGTTGATATTGGATGGGCTTAGGGTAAAACATTGATGGGTGTCAAAAACAGTAGATAGGGATAAGAGGGTAAGAGGTTGACCAATGAGAGAAAAGAGGCTTGTTGCCTGAATATTGAGAGGTACAATAAGTGTACCAAGCGGATGTCTGGTATGACCCAATACCTTAACCAGGCCGCTCAGTTCACATACTGGTTCATGATCAGACTGATACAATACCAATCAGTACGAACTGCTCCAACTGATTTAAAACCATGGTATGGAGTTTGAAATAACAGGAGACTATCAAGATAACAAGGAAAAAAAGGGTGTTAATAAGAAACATGTCGATAAATAATTACACCCCTAAATCATCATCAGCCAACATAGACTAGCTTCAGCAGGAAGTTAGCTCATGTTTGTTTCAGATACGAAACAGAACAAGATCAGTGAGCTAAAAATCTTAACCTGATGTAACTCGTCCTGTGAGGTAACCTACAGAAACTTGGGCGTGAAACACAAAGTATATGATTCATTTGCACTAATCATATGGATGGACCTCATCAAAATACTTGGATATTAAGAGTGCCATGTGAAGCCAGAGACTATTGGATCTTAAGATAAGAAATTGCCTTGATGAAATGCCCATGTGAAGCCAGAGACTGTTGGATCTTAAAATAAGAAATTGCCTTGATGAAATGCCCATGTGAAGCCAGAGACCATTGGATCTTAAGACAAGAAATTGCCTTGATGAAATTCCAAGATAGTTATCACGAGCATTATAACAGACAAATGTTTAAAGAAAGCACAATACTTGACCCATTAAACTGAGTTTGTTGAGAGAGACAGAAGATAACAAGGATAATCACCTGGATAAATGTCTGCCCCTTGCATTCATCGACTTCCATGATGGAAGCCATGTTCCCACAGCGATAGCAATAATTTGGTGCACTAAATATGGTTACCACCTTTTGCTCCTGTTTAACCCAATTAATATAATTCACATTTTAATGTCCAAAACAGAAATGCACAAATAAAAAAATTCACTATAGTTTAGATAATTACATGGCCCCAATTATATCCTTCCATAACCAGTTGGTGAGCTCGGGCTATCAACTTAAGGTTATTGGTATGGTTGAATTGCTCGGATATATCCTGAAACATCCAAAATGACTTGGTAAAGACAGATCCATAAAAAGCACTGAAAAAAAAAAAAAACAGAGCAACATACTTGGCCAAAGGTATAACCAGCACCACGGGGAGAAATACCCCAACCACATCTATCATCAGGGTCAGACCACAAAAGGTCACACATAGGCCCCTCATGAGGAACTTCTTGAACCCGATCAAAGCTTCGTATGCTATCAAGAGTCTCAATGGATGGAGATAATCCACCATGTAGACAAAAAATTTCCGACTCAACCTGGTAAAATGAAGATGCTTAGAACAAGTATATAATTCATTTCAGAAGAGCAAGGGTCAAACAGCCACCGAGGGCATTAAGAGGCCTACAAAATTGGCTAGGTAAGTAAATAATAAACAATAACAACAACAACAAAGTCGTAAGCATGATTTGCAATACCGTAGTATACTGCTTGGTACGGACGGTACGTACTGATCTGATAGAGGACTGATACAGATGGTACATCGGTACACCTTAGTATATCATGTGTCGATATGCTCGATACAACTCAGTACGTACCATACCGACAGTTGATCGGTACACCGGTACGACACGATATTCAGAACCTTGGCCATAAGTGTCAACCATTTAGGGTCAGCTACATGGATTTTTTGCTGCCATTAAGATATGTAAAAATGCATTTGTTTAGGTAAATTCAGGGCACTTAAATTTTTATTTATAGTTTTTATTAAAATCATTTTAGGTCTTCCTCTACCTATACTCGTACCACTAACATTAACTATTTCATCCCTTTTGACTACCGTATTCAGAGATCTCCTAAGCACATGCCCATACCATCTTAAACAATTTTCTTATCTTCTATCGAAGCAATACATAGTTTTTCACGAATAAAAGTATCTTTTCCTATCTTTCTTAGTAACTCCACACATCTATTTTAACATTCTCATCTCGGCAACACAAACTTTTTGTATATATTGTTTCTTAACTACTCAACACTCAGATCCATAAAGCATTGTTGGTCTCACAACTGTCTTATAAAATTCTTCTTTTAATCTCAAAGGTATCCGATGATCACACAAGACTTTTGATGCCCCTCGTCATTTTAACCATCCTCTTTTTACTCTACGAATAATATCCTCGTTAATCACTCCATCTTATTAAATAATTGATCCAAGATATCTAATGCTTTTACTTAAAGGACTTTTTGTCCATCCAATTTAACTATATTATTCTATCTATTTCTAGAATCATGAAAATTATATTTTATATATTCAATTTTAGTTCTACTTAATCTAAAACATTTAGTTTCTAAGACTAATAGAGAAATAATCAATATAAAGATCAACTATAGGATCATAGTGCCAAATAATGTCATATATAGATCAACTATCCACAAAGGAAATCATGACATGATAAGGACTACAATATAGAGAAATTTACCATGAAACAATTATCACAAGAGGACATAATTTGTAAAAGAGCTCTACAGTAATGAAAAAAATTCCATTTGAACAAAATGTGGAAATCACTTGAACAATTCCCAAAGTGGCAGCCAAAGTAAAAAATCATAAATTTCTACCCACCTAATTGTTAAAACATAAAACAATAAAATATTAGATAGAATTGAAGACGATAGCGAATAAGTATTACAATAAGAATTCACATAGCTGTGTGCAAACATGAAAATAGGAAGAGATGTCATATACAAAAATGTGATGCCTTTGATCAATTCTTAGTCCAAAACCATTTAAGGCCCTACTAACCAAACGAGCAACTCCTATAGCCCTTACGTTAGCATGCATTATTGTGTGCACTTTTACTTTTAACTAGGAAATGAGTATCACAACCACAAGACTGATTCCCATTAGGTAAAATAAATTATCGATATGATTTTTTTCTAAAAACTCAAAACACTTCTCAAACTTCTTCACACTGTGAGATGCTAAGTATTCCTATGGTGAAGCATCAAAAAAATAGGGAAAACTTTTTTTTCATACAACTAGTAGAATATGGAGGCTGTTTCCTGAATTTATTGACTCATTTGCCACTTTAAGATAATATAGGTTCTCATGACAAATCTTGTTACTTCATTCAATTAGACTCTTTACAATGCTGGTGCAACTCTAGAGGGTTTCTCCTTGAATGAGCTTAAACAACCAACATGGTAGATCCTCTCACCCCAATTAGTCTATTATGTTTCTGGTAAAGTTCACCTGTATGGACTATATGTCTAGGAATAAGGTACCAGCTTCGAAAAATAAGGTCAAATTGGCAGCATATTGTCAAACCTTAGCCTGGAAGTTCAAGAAACAAGCTTATAGGCTAAATATCTGGGATCTTGATCATTGACATGGCCAATATATAATCCCTTCCAACTAGTCCTTGGCCCACAAAAAAAAAATCATCCCTAAACAACATTCAAATGAAACTCTCAGTTTCATCAAGACAGATAACCGTGACATTCAAATGAGACACATTGATGCCAAGCAACTAACAGGATTATAAATCTGAAATTATAAATCTAAACCATTCATATCATAAAATATAAACCATGTACGTTCATATCATAACTGAAGGATTATAATGCTTACAGAAAGCCTACTTTCAAGACAAATTGTAAAAACTAAACATCAAATATGGAGTAATTTGGAAGTTAGAGCACAAACCAATGCCGTCAACGGGAAATAATCAAAAAGATCTGTGAAGGTCTTCCACACATTTGCATTACCATATCTGCAACAAATAATGAAATATAATTTAATGAATGTTGATCAAGATTCCTGGAGTTCAAATGTAAAACAAGAAGGTTAACATGACATGTTGCCTCAGTTTCCAGCATGATCATGACGGCACTCCCAAAATGTCATCCATAGAAGTAATAGGATTTGTATCTTTGATAACAGTGACAGTGTTGAACCCAGATTACAAACGTGAATATCTATCTTAAGCACGATGAAATGTTCAAACAAAAGAAATCGTCAATATTGGATCTTTTATACATCAACCCCACCTCACATCTTATTCTCAAAATGTTTTACTACCAAACATAGCAGTAAAATTTTTGGTACAAAAATGCAAGAATTTTTGCCTAACTGGTATATATGTATGTACTTTTTCCTTTTTTGAGATTGTCTTCTTTTAGTAAGCTGGGTGGAGTGAACACAGTTATACTTCATGCTATCCACTAGAAAGCTACACTAAGAATAGACACCTTAATTGGCATTTCTCTTCTAAACTTCTAAGCAAGGTTTGCAATTTTGTACCGTACTAGAATATCGAGCTCAGCTCGGTATGGTATGGTACGAGTATACCGAACGGTTCATTTTGGTGTACCGCTTGGTGTGTGTGTGTATATATATATGTTAAAAAAAAAAGGTGACGTCACCTCGTTTTTCTGCCCGCATGGGGAGAAGAAACTGAGGTTTCCTTCTCCCCGCGCACAAAAGGGTGATGAGGCGATGACGCTTAGTTTCTTCTCCCCGCAACATCACCTAAGCTTCTTCTCCCCACGCGGATGAGAAGTCATCGACGATGCCGAGGCCTCGTCGCCTCAGATGATGAGGAGGCGACATCTCATCTGCGGCGTCCGACGAGGGAGGGCGACGACGGATTGGGATCGTCGAGGGAGAGCGACGTCGAATCTCCAGGTTCTCCCTTTTCTTCTCCCTCTTCTTTCTTCTCCCACGACTAATACCATCCGATAGCGGGCGTGATGGTCGAAATCGACCGTCACTGACCGATTTAGGATGGTAACTGGGCGAAAACAACCCCAATCAATGATACCGTCTGGTAACGGGCGGTCCGCGTACCGATTTGCCGGTGGACCAGTACGTACCGCTCGTTATTAACGATATTATTCGAAACTAAAATCCTAGCTTCTAAGCATCAATTTTCACAAATCTTTAATTGTCTCCTTCTCAAGGCTTCAGCAAGATTAAATCATTCATGGCCCAATTTCCTAGCATCATATACATGAATGAACGGATGAATACAATTTACCTTTAGACAAAAAAATACACACACATACATACATACCCTCACGTGGAAGGTAAGAAAAAATTTATAATTACAAAAAATAAAAGATTGCACAATTAGAAGAAAGTTTTAATTACAAAAAAAATAAATAAAGACTGCACAATTAAAAGAAAGCTAAATTTTAGTAGCACAGGTAATATTCTGTGGCTTAAGGAAAGGGTAAAAGCAATAAATTCATGATTCTGTATTTCTATTTTGTATCTTGTATCTTTTATTCTTATAATGGCTCTGGATCATCTCGATCCTAATCCCAAATACTATGAATTCTTTAAACTGCATTCGGTTTCTTCCACTGTAATATTAATCCAACATTTTTATTATTCCAAGGACACTATCATAAAAGCATGAAAAATACAGGAAATAAATATAAGCTTTTAGATAACACATTTCCAAATCTGACAATATTCCTTTCATCTCGGCACAGTCATATGCAAAGCACCTAATCCCTCTGTATAAGTATATTGAACATTTATGTCCTGATGTCACCATTAGAAAACTAAAAAAAAGGAAAAAATATATCCGTATGACAAACATATGTATCCCATCAACTTGGTCTCCTTGTTCACATCAATTATCATCAGTGTTAATGCAAAAAAGCGATAATCACTTTTCAAAAACACAAATTTGTATGAACAAAAAAAAAAGTTCTGAAGGCAGTGCTGAGAACTTAGTTCACCTGCTTATAGAAAATAAGCAAAGTTCAATTTGTGCAAAAGAAAAACTACTGACATGCAACAAATTGGCAACAGTGCAAATTAACCTCAAATAAAAGAACGCATTTGATGCATATGAAAAAATGACAACCATTGATCCTCTTCATAGTGTAATAATAATTCTATTTGTGTCAACCTAAGCACATTGTACATATACACTGATGGAGAAGGATCAGTGGAAGAGCAAGTAAAGCAGAAAGCCTTAAAAAGTTTCTGCCTACTGAGAGATAGGTGGATTTGAAAAGACAAGCAATACCAATACCAAAAGATAACAAGGGAGGACTTACTTCCTCAGGCATTCATCATAAAATCCATAAACTTGAGTAATCTGGAATCACATCAAATAAAGTTATAAACTTGCATAGTCCGTACTAAATGATGTGAAATTACAACATATACAAACATCAGCATGATAACCAATAAAAACAGTAAGTGAAAAAGTACCAGTAATTCATGAAGGCAAGAAAGATGTCCAAGTGACATCCACTCAGTCATATGAAATTACTTTATGTGAAAATGGACCATGTGGCCAAATTAAAAAAGAATCTTAAACTTAAAAAATGCAAATAAACAACCAGAAGTTGGTCTATATACCTGACGACTCTCATGGTTTCCCCTGAGAATGGTGATTCGCTGAGGATATCGCACCTTGAGAGCCACCAAAAGCTGATAATATAAATTAATTAGCATATCAGTATTATGTCAAGGCTCAGTGAAATAATCCAAAGACATGGATCCCATGACAACAATCTACAAGTACAGTGAGTTCTTATAGACCACATCAACTTGCAATATCTTCATGCTATAGCTTCCAAACAAGTTAAAGCTTAATTGCTCTTGGACTTAGTTATCCATTTATAAAATATCATTTATTATGTCATGGTCAATAGTACACATTCTTATTTTAAGTTTTTAACAATGGTTTCATATGTGTGCTTATAACTCGCCTTGCATATCATCATTTCAGGTACTTTCAGCTCAACCTTTCCCTTCCAGCCCAATTCAAAGATCTGAATATCAGAACAGAGCTGAAGGGCAAAATATGTGTGAAGCCCCTTGAGTAGTTACGAGTCAGAATGGTCAAAACTTCTTAAAATGGACCAATCCAGTCATAGTCTTGAGATGTTTGCTACTTCTCTCAGTTGTTCTGCATAGAAGAAAGAAAGAATGTTGGCCTTCAAGATCTACAGAAGTCCACCACATGTTGTCACATCCCACTGCCGAAGTGTCACGGACTTAGCTGGTTTTGCCTAAGTCGTGCGGCACCCTTGCGTGTCCGTCCGCAAAGGTCAGCCTCCCTGAAGCCTCCCATTGTCCCTTAGGACCAACAAAAGAGAGAACGGGCTAGAGAGAACGCCTCAATCGGGATCCACAAGCAAACATCTCCGAAAAACACTTCATAGACAATGCAAATTACAAACAGACTTTACAAGCTCTGAACAGTGGCACAACAAAGGGTAAAATGGTCCATTACAGACCGAAAATCTCTCGCACGTGTCCACATGACACAACCTTTATTTACAAGCCTAAAAAGACCACCAACCCAACTAAAATGGGACTATTGAGCGTTCGGCCGCCCCTCTACATGCTGTACAAGGCATGAACATGCCAAAAGACACGGACATACATAAGCATTACATCAAACACCTTGTTTAGAAGTTTGTCTATGACATTCTCCCCCACTTATTCCTTCGACGTCCTCGTTGAAGCCTTTGTCGACACTGCAACTCCTCGCCTTTGCTAAGTCTTCAATCTTCTGCTCCAGCTACAATGCGTCTCTTGGCTCCTAGCTGCTCTCCACTGCTGTTTTTGAGTAGTCGAACCTTTGATCCGCCATGCTGCTTCAACTCACCAATGACTTTGACTCTGGTGTGGGGTTGGCTGAGTTGTGTTGATCCTTGTTGATTCCTGCGGATCCCCCAGATGAAGGAAAAGACCATCCTTACTGCGTCAGTCTCTCAAATGCCTCGTGCTGCTTGAACTGGGTGGATGCTTATTGGAGCTTTAACGAGCATCGTCTCGCAAACTTCTGAAGTTTTGGGTCCTTCCTCCACAACATTTGCTCATTGACTCTTCTTTCGCTTAGTTGTCACATCCAAGTAG